AACTCCACTTGTGGCCGATAGGTTAAACTGTAGTGGGTCAGTTCAGACGATACAACTAGTGGAGGGAGGACGATGGTATGAAGTCAAAAGGGTATCTCAGGCTGATGACCTTATTCTGACTGATACTGTGCTCCGTGATCACATAAACTCCAAAAATTACTGCAATATTTTCGACAACTACCTCACTCTTCCAAGTTCTCCTTGGTTCTCCTTTGCAGTCAATAAGTCTCTAAGTCTCTTCGTGTGCAATCGCACTCAGCATGCAGAATTCCCGGAAGGTTTCAATTATGCAACCTGCAAAGATCACAGGATCTATTATGGAGATGTACAAAACAATAGTACACAGAGTTTCTCATCTCAGTGTTCAGGTATTTTGCTCCCGGTGAATGAGGAGCTAAGAAAATGTGGATCTTTGTCTAAATGTTTGAATGCCACGTTCTTTGTTGATGTGAAAATACCTCCCCATTGTTATGGATGTCATTTCTCAGGAGGCCAATGTCAAATAAACAGACAAGGAGACTATGAATGTGCAGGAAGCCGGAGACATAATATGAAGGGTATGATGAAAGAGTAAATCTATAGCTCTGTATGCATTTGTATGTCTTCCCGTTCTGTGTTCCAAAATCCCTCATAAGTTTGCTTAACCAAAGGCTTACTTTCTCTAACATTTGTTAGACCTTCTTCTACCGAGTCATTGGTAGTGATCTGCAGTAGTTGTTTATGGTTGATGAATTTAGTGCATTGCCGTGTAACTCTATCCGGTAATAACTCAATAAAGTATTCAATATTGTTTGTGCATTGCTTTCCTGTTAATTAAAATTCCCAGCAAGCCAAATTTTCTGCATCAGTATCTGTCTTTTCTGTTTGAACTGAACGAGTTCTCTTTTGACATAAATTGCAGGGCATGACTACGGATGGAAGATAGCAACATGTAATTCTGTCTTAATTTTCCCTATTTCATGTGTTTCTTTACAAACCTAAACAGAAATCTCAAATCATTAATATCTTCTCATATACGGTTGTCAAACAATTAAAGCTGATCATTCAGGCATTTCTGCTTCAGGTACTGCAGCAGTCTTCTTCGTTGTAATTGTCTTATTTGCCGTCTTCATGCTTCCGCGATACCGTAAAATAAAATCTCTGTCATCACAGTTATTCTCAAGGAGTACTTCTTATCACTCCAAAAAATTAGATCTGGAAGCAGGCAGAGTGTATTTTGGAGTTCCCATCTTTTCTTACAGTGAACTTGAAGAAGCCACTAACAATTTTGCCAATGACAAGTTACTTGGAGATGGAGGCTTTGGAACCGTATACCATGGTAAGAAAATTGAATATCTATTTTGTTGGATGGAAACTCAATATGGCATTAGAAAATTTGAAGGAATAAGTGAGAAAAGTGAAAATGAAACAAAATGGAGAGGTTATTGTGAATAACCTTACAGCTTGTTGACTTAGTTTTGGCATGGATTTTTTAACCAGGCAAACTTCGAGATGGGAGGGAAGTCGCAGTCAAGCGTCTATATGAGCACAACTATAGAAGGGTGAGCAGTTCATGAATGAGGTCGAAATCTTGACATGTCTGCACCATAAAAATCTTGTCTCCCTCTATGGTTGCACTTCGCGTCACAGCCAGGAACTCCTGCTTGTATACGAGTTCATATCTAAAGGCACTGTTGCTGATCATCTCCATGGTGATCAAGCAAATCCTAGTTCATTAACATGGCCTACTCGTATGAACATTGCCATAGAAACTGCAAGTGCATTAACCTATCTCCATGCATCAGATATCATACACCGTGATGTGAAAACTACCAACATTCTCCTTGATGATAACTTTACTGTCAAAGTTGCAGATTTTGGGCTTTCCCGATTGTTCCCAAGTGATGTAACTCATATATCAACTGCTCCACAGGGAACTCCTGGGTATGTTGACCCTCAATATCACCAATGCTATCAGCTCACTGACAAAAGCGACGTCTACAGCTTCGGAGTTGTTCTTGTCGAGCTGATATCATCCTTGCCTCCAGTTGACATAACTAGGAATAGGAATGAGGTTAACTTATCTAATTTAGCAGTAAACAAGATACAAAACTGTGAATTTGAAGAGTTGATTGACCCAAATCTTGGGTATGAATCTGATGAAGAAGTTAGACGAATGACAACTTTAGTTGCAGTATTGGCATTTAAATGTTTGCAGCAGGATCCGGAAATTAGACCTACCATGGAAGAGGTTCTGGACGAATTAAAGAAAATCCAAAGTGGGGAATGCAAGTTGGAGAATGCAGAGACAAGACAGGATGAACCTCAGTTGATGAAGAATAAAGAGGCCCCACCGTCACCACCTGACAGTGATAAAGTTGCATTACTAATGAAGATCAAGTTCCCTTCTTCACCGAACTCTGTGACTGAGAAGTGGTTTAGTACAGATACTACACCGAATACCAGTGGATGAAGATTTTTGTTTCCTCCTTTTATCTTCCCCAGTCTCCTCCATTTTATCGATAGATGGTGAGGATTCATTTTTTTACCAATCATAATATACAAATAAGTTTTGCTTCCATCAATGGTTTTTTGTATAAAGTATCTTTTTAACAGCGAATCATTAAAAATGTATATAGCTGATGGGGTTTCATTCTTAAACAAATGTTCGTATGTTTGACATTTTTTTGATGGTGACGCTGTTTATATGAGGTGGTATTTTTATTTACTGAACTATACCTGCCTATAATCTCTGTTGAAGATTAATGTAAAAATTATAGTTTATTTTATTTATTAGTTTAAATTTAAATATACTTAATCTTTAATTAGATTTAAGTCATATTTATTTTTTAAATATTATGTAATTAGTAGGAGTTTATCTTTTAGAAAATTTAGTTTTTGTTTATCTTTTACGTTATGATCAATTATTTTTAAAAAATTTAATTTAAATGTAAATCTATTTAAAAATATTTTAAATTGTTAATTCTTCAGTTAGTGAAGTTTTTTTCTCCTAGAAAAAATTCAATAGTCTCATATTCTGTTTACTTTTAGATAAGACGTAAAGATTCGAGTACAGACAGAGAAAAATAAACTAGAAAGTACAAAATCTATAGAGGTGCACGAAGAGAACTACGGAAATGTCTACAGGAAATTCAAACCCAAGGGGTCTTTAGTCCTCTCAAACCTTAGTTGACCAACCACTTCCTCTTCCATCTCCATTCAATAAATTTAAGGATTTCTTCTACAACCGGTTGAGATTCTATGAAAGATTAATTGTTTATTAACTTGTTTGTGCATTTTTTCCTTATCTATAAATCACTTATTTTCATTTACGTAATCAATCAGTTAATGAAACGTTTTGAATATATTATCATTATCTCTATCAAAATTCTATCTATCTCTATCTCAATATCTTTTTACTCTAGTTTTCTATTTCTTCCTCTTGATATGCTTATTCTATCTTTCTCAAATCGTTCTTTTTCTTCTCTCACCCTTCCTCTCTTTCTCTCAAAGAGTACATACTTTCTTAAATCAGAATCATATGCTCGGGTCATGACATAAGATTCTCAACCACATTGATGATCTTAGGAAGTTACTGAGATTCTTCAAGGGAAGATGCATTCTTCTGGATGATCTACACACACACACACACACACATCTAGTGCTTGAATTTCATTCAATGCCTTGAGTTGATTGTGTTATAAGATGACAAACAAAAGGTACCTACTACTTATTGAATCGAAGGCCGAAGAGAGGTAACCTTGGCCTCACGGAACAGTGATAGTGGGGAATAAAACAAAGCTATCAAAACCATTCCTCAATTTCCCTTTTCCTTCCCACTCTCTCCTGCGAATTTATTCCTTATGACTTGCAACTCTGGCAAGCTTAAAAACCCAATCTGGAATCTATTCTTTAAATCATAAAGGCCTCATATTGAAGGTGAATCTACAACTTATCTTTGATCGGTTTAACCATGATGCATATGATTATAAATACCAACATCAGAAATCCAGTAATAAATATACTGCAGTACTAGAAAACCATAAAACATTCTCGAGAATGGGCGTATAAACAAATAGATGCTACGGTAGCCATGGTCTATTTTGTCAGAGTCAGTATTTGGCTGTGTGATGAGGCAATGTTAAGCTAAGTTTTTGGCATGAAGTGTATATTACATGTGCAGTCAAGAAAGTTGAAACATATCTGATGGTGGGATTACTCCTTCCATAAGTTGGTGCTAGATTGTTCATAGGAGACAAAATTTCTTCAAAAATTCTTTTCCTTCTGGAAAAGTAGAGGTCAGTATAGACATTTCAATCTTTATGTATTCTTACAGTCTATGAAAATTCAGAATTTTCTCGGAAAATGTAATCCCTCCTCTCTTTTTCTCAGCTCGTCAAGTTCCATTCAAAGAATGCACTTTTGAGACGATAAAGGAAAGGAAGAGAGAGATTTTCAAATCTAATTTAGATACTTTTCTCTCTCTATGAAGCAAAACTCCTCACACCCAAATCAGTTCATCAATTATTCAAATTCAGTCTCCCTTATATCTCCTTTAAACACAAAAAAAACGAAGAGAGAAACAGAGAGGTAGAAGACAGAGGAACCTGTAAATGGCGACGTTGCACAAGTTCAAGCTGCTAGCAACGCAATGCGGCGTGGCGCAGAGCCCTACGAGAAGCCCAAGGACAAGCCCGGTGGTGCAGCTCCGCCGTCGGAAGAGTACCTTGAGGATGCTTCTGAGTCGGAGCTCCAGCCGCCGATCCTCCGCCTGCCGCGAACCTCCAAGTCAACCGAAGATACTTGTTACAGATTTGACCGAGAAGAAGAGGAGCAGCAAGGATATGGTGGGCCATAAATTGAAAGACCTGTTCGTTTCCTCGCCTTCATTCGAAGAAGAAGAAGAAGAAGAAGAGAAAGGAAAAGGAAAGAGCGGAACGTTCACAGTTGCCGCCAAGTTGAATGGAGTTGCCTCCTTCGGTGTCCGAAACGGGTTGAGTGTCGAAACGGGTTCGCCAAGGCCGAGTTGGGTCGGTTTCCGGTACCGGTTGCTGCTTAGAAGAGCATGGCGCCCCATGCTCGTTGCCATCCCCGAGTAACTGTGGAATTTAATTTTCTGACGACGATTTTTAATAAATCTTTTTCTTGATTTTATGATATTTTATTTTCCTAACTTCCTTTTTTCTTATCAAATATATATATATATATATAGAATGTCTCTAATTTCACTAGCATAGTATATTTCTATTCCACTCTTTAATGATTTACTCAGTTCAATTACTTCATTCGATCAAAAGTGCCAATCATAGCTTCTAAGAATTTAACCATCAGTGGCACCACTACAATAATTATGGGTTCCCACCACAAAAACTTGATATATATATATATATATATATATATATATATATTATAAATCTTAAAGGGTCCTAAGTCTAACCATCAATGGCACCATGAGAATACTTTTTGGTTTCCATGCCAAAAATCAGTAGCAAAAATTGCATTCTGATCTTCTCTCAGCACCCTGAAAAACTGTGGTTGTGTGTGTGTGTGGGTGTATAGACTTGGGAAGAACATGCAACATGGATAATACTGTCAAATTAAAAGAACTGATGTGTAATTCACCAAAATTTGTGGGATCCAATATATACAATCTTAAATAAGATTGAGAGAAAATTGAACTTCATTTTTATTCATCTTCACACTTGAGGGAAAAAAAAAATGGAAAATTTGTGGGGGAACCAAGTTCAGAAATTGAAAAAATAGTCAGTGTCTGGCTGTTAGTTGCTCTTTGTTTGGCAGCGGAAGGGAAGGACTTATCTTATTCGATTGTTTTTGCCGCGTAACGTTATCTGCTTCTTCTTCCTCCCCGGTTCCCCCTAATTCTTGCAGAGGTTTGATACGCCCGCCAGGTTTGGGCTGTGCGTGGCAATGCTGCTTGGCTGATGGGAGTACTCGTACCAGGTATTTACGTATCGTCTCATAACTTGTGAACGTAATGACGGCTGATGGTGTTGTTCGTAATAGGTTAGTAGCACAGCCACGGTAAAAGCCAGGAAGACCTTCCTTTCGGATGACCTTCTTGACGCAATCAACTACTCCTGAATATTGGACCTCAGCATTCCTTACCTGCCCTTGTTCTTGAAGCCGTGAGCGTACAACCTGGTGATAATATAATTTCAACATTACAGTGAAGACAGTGAGAGTGAGGAATTAGGGGGCCTTCAAGCACAGGGTAGAGAAATGCCAGATTAATTCAACAAACCTCGTGTGGATATGTCATCACAGAGGCAACTATTTTTGCCATCGAAGAGGCAACTGCAACACGTCCGGGGCTAAGTTCATCAACAGTAGTACCATCTGAGAACTTCAACCAAATATAATGAGAAACTTATTGATGGAACAAGACAACATAAAAGATATATATATCTACATAGATTTCACATCCACGCCTTAAGCACGAAAGAAATAGATTATTAGATACAGAAATCACATTACCTTTTTTAGCCATATATGACTTGATCTTTTCATATGTTGGGAATTGAATTGCGACATGACTTATCCCAGCTAACGAGGGCAAAATGCCACTGGTCAAAATAAAGGAGGTATCAGGACCAAAATGCCACTGTTCAAAGTAATACAAATGCAGCTCACAGAAAAATGCTCCAGAAGGAGCAGAAACTGATTTTTATATTATTTTACCAGGCTAATGAATCGGTCTCATTCATGTTTGAATTCATTCTCTGGTCCTTGAAGGTCAATTCCTATAGACTGATGAATATCAAAGTTCCAATGGCTGATCAATGAGAAAGAATAAAATATACTGACCTATACAGCCCTCGCAAACCTTCCTCATATGTAATCCTCCTCAAAGCAGAAAACACACCTTTGTAGGGAACCACACCCGACCTCATTCCCTGTGTCTAAACAAATATAAAAGAAAATCCATTACCAAACAGAGTAAAAATGAAATATACTGAATGTAAATCTGATTTTCTTTTTCTGTTAGCACAATCAATACGACAATTTAAGACAGAGTATTACATCAAGCAATTTGATTTGATAAAAAAGTTTATAATCAACAAGACTAATATAAAAATCATGGTATCTACTTCATTTCACTTTTCCAATCATTTTAACGCCAGCATAAATCTAGCCAAAGGAAATTCCCCGACACTTCAATTGCAAGCAAGACACTTTTGAGAGAATTAATTCTGAGTCTTCTTATAGATATATATATATATATATCTAGCCAAAGGAAATTTCCCAACACTTCTATAGCAAGCAAGACACAATGGAGAGAATTCTCATCTTCTTATTAATTTCTGATTAACAGATTAATTGATTAAATCAACATCCCAAGACTAATGCCTGAAACCTAAGGGGGATGATACTCCACACAAAAATCTGTTGTAGACTTAGAATAACCACCACCCAACCATTCCCATTGAAGGTTTCCAGGTAGAAAGTGGCTACATAAATGAGCATCCTGCATGCTTTTGATTGCATTACTATTCATTTGCCCTTAGATCCTTAGAAGTTAACCGCTGCCAAGGGAAGCACTCATTATTTCTGGATGAATTTTAGAACTTCCAGTGAATTTAAGAGAAGGAATTCCAAGCAAACAATAGAATGACAGAATCTTTTGCAATGTGGATTTCCTCACCCTCAAGGTGCATAAGAATGTGCTGAGAAAGGCCCAACAAATCAGAACTAGTAACACATCTGCCCTTTTATTTAATAGTTCCAGAATGTTGTTATCCTAACTAATCTTCCTTCATATCCACCTTAAAGCTTAACTCACCAATTGGACTTTAGTTCACATTAACCCATTCTCAATTTCAAATTCAGGGTCAGATACACCTGCACAGTTACAACATAAAGGAGTGTTTTTCTGTTGCAACAAGAGAATGCTCCAACAACAGAGCTCACTACTGGAAACCAAAATTATGCAAGACCATGTTTTCATCCTGAAATAATATTCTAAGAAATAGGTATCAGAAAAAGATACAGTTAGTAATTAAGCATGCGATATATCTAGAGAAGTCCTGATCTCCATATTTAGGGAAAACAAATGGAAAATATGAGACAACAAATTTACTTGGAGTCTTGTCTTCACAACCCACAATGGATTAGTTGTAAGAGCTGTAGCAGCCCCTGCCCCAGCAGCAGCTATAATATTTGCACCAACTGTGAGTTGGTCATCCTCTAAAACGATGAACATGGAAAGTTAGAGAAACGATGTAACCAGTTGAATGAAGTCAATATGCTCATGGTTGACCGGCTGAGCAATGTCAAAACTTAGATGATGGAAATATGTGCTAGCTTCGGATCACAGAGAAAATAAATGCATTGAGAAGAACTAACCGGGCGAATGGAGAAGACATTTTAGCTGCCTATAAACTGTGAAGTAAACCTACAATTGAGATGCGAAAATCTTCCAGTTATCAAATTATGAACATTGCATAAAATCATAATTTTGCGTGCTTCCTAGATGACCACAGGAAGATCAATGGAAGTTCTTCTAGTCAGAGGAAAAAGATTCCAACATAGATCTGAATTCATTTCCAGCAAATATTTAAAAACAAGTACACTGCTAGATTGTTACATGGCGAACAAAAAGGTTGTTACAGAAAATCTGCATTAGGTACAGACAATGCATCTTGCATGTAGAAACCACATCCTCAAGAGAGCTTAAGAAATTTAAGAATAAAACCATAGCCACTTTTGAGGCAAAAACTGAAAAGGCACGGGGAGTTATATAACCTTTTTCATAAAAAGAAGATAGACATTTTTATGAATAGAGGAGCCAATGATGTAACCCTTAATGATATCTTATCATGTGTATTGTAAATGAAGAAAGAATGGAGTGCCAGGGAAAGTTAGAACTAAAAGACACCGGCTCGCTTTTATTTCAGCTAGCTGCTCATGTTTTGGCACATTATTAGAACTCTAAAACCTGTGCTTAAATTAAATATCTGATTATCAATAAAAGTCTAAATCTTAGGTTGAAAAGAAAAAGAAAAGAAACTCCTCAAAGTTTGAAGCTCCATTTTTCAACTTCATTTTAGGAGGAAAGTCCACAAAGGTAATACTCACTGCCCAATTTGGAAGTAGAGCTACTATTGTTGGTGAGAGTCCGCGATACATTCCTCTAAAACCTTCATTCTTTACTATATTCTGTAGGCTCGTAATTATGATACTACCTGAGCATAGACAAGAAAGAAACAAAAAGTGTTACTAATGTTGTTACAACTAGCCCAAGCCAGTTTGGGTCAGAGACAAAATTTCCTCCTTGTGAGAGCTTTAATTGTGGGTTCCACCCGCCTTGTTTACGTGCCCTTCAGGCAAAAAATAAAGGATATTCATGACAACTAACACCATCAACCTCAAACCTTAACAATTAACAAATGGATTCACAGTTCCAAATGCATTTTTGGTAGGTTTTCCACTTACCCAATCTTGCTTGCTTCATCAAAGGAAAAAAATCCGCTTTGAATTCGTGTTCAGCTCACATAGGCCTTTGTTAAATTTTTCATGGAGGCAGAGACATATAAAACATTGTCTCGCTTTCAATTATTTCAATTTTCAGAAAAATTATGAGGGGATTAAAACTTCCAACAGACATCCTTTTCCCAACAATCACATCAATAGCTAGTTCAAGTGACATTCATACAGGTCACATAGCACAGTTTCAATATAATAATCATCAACATGGTATTAAGTTATTAACGAACTACTATAGATGATTCACCAATTCAATACTGTTTATTTAGACATTACTCCCTTATCCAAAATCCTTCGCTACAGAACTGCTCAATCATGCACCCAATGAAAATAACAGACTGAAAAAGCATCAAGTGAATTGAACAGAGGCTGAACATACCTCTGCCACCTGACTGGGTCGCTTCAGGGAGGCCATTAACTTGCAATCTTGTCTTGATCACATCTAGTGGGCACACAAAGGAGGCCGCAATTGCACCTAAAACACCATATTAACCAGTAACCACACAAAGATTAGCAAAACATAATGCATTTCACCACCATAGAACCCTAGCCAAGCAACATCAATACAGCACTCCCCACAAAAAGATAAACCAGGAAATAATGCAAAGAAGTTGAACTAACCAGCGGATGCACCAGCAGCGGCGTCGCAGATTAAATCCCTTGTGCTTGGAGCATCACTACACGATTTCCCACCTCGACTCATCTTCCTCAATCAACTCTCTCAAAATTCTCAGAAACCCTATCAAGACTTGCAAATCCACAAAGAAAGATCTACCTATATATACACGCACTTCCACGCGTGTGCAAAATACTCTAATCCAACCGACGCTAACATTTGAAACGAACAGGGAGAGAGAACGGCAGAGAGACGCAATCTTGAATCTAGGACTAACTTGTTTGAAGGGTTAAGATCAAATTCATAAACCAAACCTTACTTCGATTCTTGTAATAGACTGTGTTTTCTTTGAACTGGTCAATGTCAAAAGAATTTCTCCGAAGGGGAATTGAATTTAACCTATTGCTTACTGGAGAAATTTCAGATCGCTAGCTGGAAAGTATAATAATTACAGTTCGTCGAACTTTAATCGAGACGAAAACCTAGCAAAATTCTGAACAGTAATGGCAACTCTTACACTGTTTTTTACACGCGAAAGAGTTTACAAACAGAGAATTTAATCTGGAGGAGGGATGGCTTCCGGGTTTCTGGACTGCGTATGGTTTGATTTGGATTCGAGTTGGAGGAAGGTGATGCTGTCAAATTAAGCTACATATTTTACAGAATTAAATAATTAAAAAAAAATGTAAAAGTGTGAATTTATTATTATTATAATTTAATAAATAAAATAAAAAGTCAGCCGTCACTAGCAAGGAAAAAAATAAATAGAATATTTTTTAAAAATAAAAAGTGCTTATAAAAATTCAACACTTTATTTTTTTAAATTAAAATTATATATTTACTTACCTTTTTTAAAAAAATTAATTATAATAAATGTATGGGAAGCTGAAAACTCATGATGGATTTACTTACCTTTAATTTTTGTAGCATAATTGAAATTATTTAATATTATTTTATTTAAATTTAATGTTAATTTTATATTAAATAAAAATATTATGATAGTAATTAACATAATTAAAATCATAATCACTTCTCTCTTTTTTCTCTCTCCAAAAAATGTTGTTAAGTAAAATTAAAATTTTATTTTGTGATATAAATTTTACTAAAAATACAAAAATTCTTTTTAAAAAAAATATATCCGAAAAAAAAAATAAAACTCGGACCCACATATAATATTCATCGAAATCTTTAAATTATAAATCTAAAAATAAAAAAATATATATTTCAAATATCAATTAATTTTTTAAAATAAATAAAAATAAAATTTAAAAATTTCATTAAAATCGTACGTAATCATATATTTATTTAAACAAAAAATAACTTAAATACATAATTATCTGTCCTTTTAACTTGGTAGTATTATTTCACTATTAATTTTAATATAATTATAAAGAGTATATAATAATTATAAACGTATGTGTTTATGTGTGTAATACATCAATAAAAGCACTTATATTTTCATTTTCTTTATTTAAAATGTATTTATGTTATAAATTTATATAGTTTATTAATTAAATAATATTAATACGATCTTTTAATAATAACATACAATATTATACAACGTGATTTAAATTTATAATTTTTTATAACATAAATAATAAAGTGTAAATTGTTGTCAAATAAATAATTAGTAAAGTGTATTTAAATATTGATTTTAATTTGATTGTTTATTTTCATAATTTATAAATTAAAATCAACAAATAAAGGAGTTAATTTTTGTAGAGAAAAAAAAAACAAACAAACCCACCCATAACTAGGCTGGGCTTGTTAGAGTGGACGGGTTAAGGGAGCGGCTCGGCGTGTCTTGCGGGCTTAGTTTAAATTGGGCTAGGCTCGCAAATTTCTTGGTGCTAGGGCTTACGTCATATTTGTATTTTCTTTTTAATTTTTAACAAATTACTAAAATTTAATACTATTTATAAGTTAATTTTTAATATATTTTTTTTCAAATTTATAGTACTGTTTTGTTTTTATAAGGAAAAAAATTAAAATTAAAATTAATAAATTTTGTAAGTATATTATAAGTTTGACGGTAATATATTTATAATTTTTAATTTAAAGAGATAAGTAATTTAATTTATTAGTATATTAAATTATAAATATAGTTTATTTTATAATATAATATTTGCTTGATTTATGTAAAATGGTGGGCGGCTATGGTATGATGTGAAGGGTGGAAATGGAGTTCAATGCATATAAACACTACAGCTGTAAACACATTCTTTCCCATGGGACCAAATCTTCTTCTTCTTTTAAAAAAAAAAAAATCAAATTAAATCATATAAATCTAAATAAGTAATTTATTATTAAATTAATAAAAAATAATAAACGAAAGCCTACCTAATCCATCGCATAATATTTAATTACATTATGCGGTAAATACTTTCAAATCATGACAAAATTTAGAAAAAAATAAAATGACGCATGCATGATTCGATAGTTATAACCGTTTATTTATATCGACATAATTTTATATTTTTTATTTTGTCTATTATAAAACGAGAAACTACAAATATAATATTTATATGTATTAAACTCATATTTAATTCGAATGTATTAAGATCTACTTTCGTTTAACTGTATTTAATCACTATTAAATGGGTTCATAAATTAACTATTATTAAACGAATATAACTCATACTAAATTCTTCATTTATTGAAAAAATTCAATGTATATATACATATATATACATTAAATGCACATGAACTAACTATAATATAAGACATACTAATTTTAATATATGTAAGAGTCAAAATTTAAGACACTTAACAAAGTTAATGTACATAATTTTGTTCAAAAAAAATCCCAAATGCCCAAATTAAAATCCGACCATATCTTATAATTATATAATATGATTACCCACTTTTGTGTCAAATTTCAAAAATCAATAACAAAAGGAGAGAGGAATAAATTTGGTTATTGATCCAATGTACCTACTAGGCTCCCCTTTGGAATTCCCCAAATAAATTTTAGATTGGCGAGTGGCTTTAAATATATAGTACGTGTATATATATATATATACACACACACACACATATTTATATATATGTATGTATGTATCTATGTATATACATTTTTAATTCGATATCCAAGATTTGCAATAATCAATGAACCGACTTTATTTATTTATCTATTTAATAAATAAAAAACCAATTTTAATTTGTCCCTAACATTTCCAACACGTCGGCCCCTATGTTTTTTATTTTTTATTTTTCTCAAAGAGTAATTAATATAAAATTAGTGAAATTAATTAAAATTAGTGTTTTGTATAATTATTAATATAATTTTTTTGTGTACCCTTAAAAATTGTAAATTGCAATTTAAGTTTTTGTATTTTTTTTTTTACATGTATATATAACTTCGATTTGAAATAATTTTAACTAAGATAAATGAATAATTATATAGTTTAATTTAATTATTATAATATCATAAATGTAACACCCCGTTTTTTTTTTCTT